CTATTGTTATAATGTTAGTTTTAACAATGTAAAAATTAAACTATTTTATTGTTATAATGTAAAAATTAAACTACATTACTTTTATTAATGTAGGTGGTAAACAGCCTACTAACACTAAAACCTGAACAGTTGGGAAGTATCGCCTGTGATCCAAAAGGAAGCCACATGATCGACGAGTTCTTTAAGAGTGCTTATGTAGGTGAAAAGAGGAAAACTCAGCTTGTACAGTGCTTTAAGGTGAGTTTAAAGTGTCATAGTATGTATGGACAGATAATTTTCCTGTTTACCACTAAGCAAGCAACTAAAGAGCTGAGGCTGCAAGAAAAAAAAAGACTTTAACACTAGAACTTGAAAGTGTGTAGAAAAACTTAATATGATAGTGATAAATTTACAGAACACCTTTTCAACAGATTAGATTACGTTAATACATTACTTCTAATCACCCATAAATTAATATGACAAGTTGTTATAACATAAATAATTTATTACCTGTTGTTGTCCCATCTTCTTCGAGAATATCACTGAGTAGCTTGTGTTTTGTAGTTTCAATACCCTGGGTTTTTTTCCACTCTTCCTTGTTATTTTTGAACAGAAACAGTTTAAAATTTCCCACTATGTACTGTCCAAAAGTATTGCTCCTAAGAATGGATTCCTTGGCAGATAACTCCTGGGCAATAATAGCTTTTGTTTTAACACACGTCGATGACCACACATTATCGAGAATTCGACTGCCGTATTTATTACACGCCAGTTTGACCTGTTCACGTCTGTATATTCTGACAATATAAGAAATACAACCTTTGTTTTTCTCGGTAACATATATGACAGTATACTGTCACCTGGTGTCAATAATCGTGTTACATGACATACATCAATAGTGCTGCCACCTGGTAATTAGTTTATTCAACCAACCATCGGTAGTCTTTGTTTTTCCTGCTGCGTATGTGTAGTATAATAAGTTCAATAGAAAACTCTCCAAAATTTAATTTTTCTTTTCTTGAAGCATAATGCAGTTTTGAAAAAGTAGAAAATCTGTGAGGACTAAAATATTTAATACTTGGACGGGAAAGAGTTGTTTCTTGTGGATTGTAAAAACATTCACTCTGTCCATGAAGTACAAAACGCGTTTATCTGCTAGGTTGGTTCACTTCCAGATACTTCATCATTTGACTTAAACCTTTTCTTCTTTGGTGCTATAATGTTAGAAAAACAACATTACTTTAGGCATTCTAAAGTAGAACTTTACAGCAAACCACAAGTGATCGTACTTAACGTTACATAACCTTACGCAATATGCAGCAAACCACAAGTGATCGTACTTAACGTTATCATAACCTTTCACGATATTCAGCACACCACAAGTGATCGTACTAATATTGGTGGGAGTAGAAAATTTCCAAACATCCATAAACACAGTCACTGTGCAGATGCTGGAGTTTAGTGTAATAAAAAGTGTAACACTCAAGTCTGGAAATTAGTTTGAGACTTTCGTAGTGGACAAGAACTGCCAGTACAGGCATCTAACGTGGAATTGTTGTCAGAGTTGTATAAAATGTGTTTAATTAAACCACCATCACGTTGTTGTCAGTTGTATAAAATGTGTTTAATTAAACCACCATCACGTCGTTGTCAGAGTTGTATAAAATGTGTTCCTGTTTGGTTTATAGTTTTACCACCTTTTCATACTCAAGAGATTGTAGATTTTAAGATTCTCACCTTAAATGTAACCTTTTTTTCATATCACAGCCAGATAAAAATGACAACCGTGACAAAGATCACCTGGTGTATGCTGACCTGGACTTCTCGCCGCTCCCCGAGAGAAACGGACATTTTAGGAATAGAGAGGACAGACATCCAGAAGATAGAACAGAGTATGCAGAAATACAGTTTCCTTCGAAAGTAACAGAGCAGGCTGACATCTAACAACATTGTACAAACTCTCTCGGTAATTTCAACATTTTATGCAGCATAATTATTTACTCAACATACCAGAAGGGGTGTGACATCTTTCAATCAACTCTAGCTAAACATAACCTATTATTTTTTTTATACTGTGATACCGTGTGTGTGTATATAAGGTTAGTTGGTGACATCCAGTTTTGACACTTTGTAGTTCTCATTTAAAACGATCGTTTTTATGAGAATGTTCGAATGTTTTACAGCAGGGTTTCTCATCTTTTTGCATTTCAAGGAGCCCACAGTTGTCCACATTATAAAGTACAATAAGTCTGATAAAATTTTTATTTTTAACAGAGTAATTTAGACTCTTTGGTTTAAAATCATAATCAAATTGGTTAGGAACTACAGAGCACAACTCCTGAAATATTCAAACAGTTTTCCAGTATTAGAATTACAACATCATGTGTATCATTAACAACAGAATTTAAGACTATGAGGCTAACCGTAACATGGCATGAACATAACCTGAACTCAACCTTGACCAAATTGTATGCTGATCATTACTGTTACAGAAATAGTTAATATTTCTCACAATGTATTCCTATTTCTCTTTATTTATTTTCTATCAGAGTTCATTATACTCAACCACAAATGTCATCGACTCTTCAGTTGATAAGAATCTTGCTGTAAAAACCTCTGATATATGACAAGCAAACTTGCATGATAACATTTGTTTAAGTGACCTGTAATATAGCAAGTTAAAAGTATTAACACAATTCTGGTTAAGTTTCTTTATACATCTAAAATGTCAAATTAATTTTACACCATATCCTGGAGTAGTGTTGTTATTGATGTGTAAAAATATATTTTGTATACATGGGTGAGAGTAATTTTTTGTCATGAGCTGGTACATCACAAGCCGTAAGTTTAATCTGAACACAGAAACTGTTAATTACTATTTGTAATTTTTTTTGTCATGAGCTGGTACATCACAAGCCATAAGTTTAATCTGAACACAGAAACTGTTAATTACTACTTAGCAACTCATCCATATAAAGTTTTATATGGATTAAGAAGGTTACACAAATGAAAAATATTTTTAATCTTTAACTTTCCACCTGGACTCATCAAAAAAAGATTTGATATATTCACGGACAAATCTTTAGTAAAAATTATATGTAATGTCTACTAAAATCCTGCCAAGTTTTGTGAGGGTACCGTATTAAAAATTAAGCAGCACAAAATGGTTATGAGGTTGGTCACCTCGGACCGGACCGAACCCGTAGTGAGAAAGTTAAGATTGCAGAATGATTTACTACTATTGTAAATGTCAGCATCATAGTAATTATTCTATTAAAAATTTTTACATATTTTCAAAGTACTGGTTCAATTTGAACATTATTATATGTTACATAAAATGTCATTATCTCCAGCACTGCTTTCTCTAGATCACATAGTTTGAATATAAGAACTTACTTATCCACAACTAGTGAAACAGTTGACTGGAAGTTTTCTCAACAACGTTTCATTTTATCTGCCTCTGCGTGCCCTAAATATCTTTCTGTATTTTATGCTCATCTCCATGACTGGTGATACCAATTTTGAACAGTTCAGGTAAAACTGGTCTTGAAACAAACACTACACCCCCCTGTTAATGTTATAACAAAATGCATAAACTACTTAACATCTGGATTTAAGTCATTGTGGAATAAATTTTAAACTCAAAAGAATTAGCCTGATAATAAATACTTTAACATAGAAAGTGACAGATATATATCAAAAACAAAGATTACATAAAAACACAACTTTTATTTAAAGAGGTAATGTTTGAGATAGATGTATAGTAGAGGTATTATGTTTGCCAACTGAATGGCTGTTAAACAGCTTTTATTTAGAGGTAATGTTTGACAACTGAATGGCTGTTAAACAGCTTTTATTTGAATAATAACTTTAACTTCTGCCTCAGTTTTTATCTTTGAGCTCTCTCTCTGTTTGGTCTTGCAGAGCCCGTGTCTGTGTCAATGGTGATTGGTGTTGCAGTGGGATGTATCATTGTTCTGGTAGTCCTGATAGTTGTTGGCTTGTTTGTCCTCAAGAAACATAAGTACTTATTCAGAAGTAAGCCTTCTCACATGTATTGAATTAAACTACAAGATTTTGTTCCCTTTAATAGAAAAATTATGCATGATAACTCGTAGTGTTGAAACAAATCACTTTTTTTACAGTTACTAAAAATACCTATTTCATTACAGAACTGTTCTAACTTAAAAACAACAACATATATTCAACCAATAATCAGTAAATAAGTTACTCTGTGGTGTAAAGTAATCAAGCATTTATTTAAAGTGTAGTTGTCCAAAAAGTCAGTGAGAGTAATAAAAAAGTAACCAAAATTGTACTTCAAAACTAGTTGAATTTATAAAGTACCATTATTATAACATGATCAGTTATTTATTGAACCAAAGTACCCATTATTATAACATGATCAGTTATTTATTGAACCAAAGTACCCATTATTATAACATGATCAGTTATTTATTGAACCCAAGTACCCATTATTATAACATGATCAGTTATTTATTGAACCCAAGTACCCATTATTGTTCATTCTAATGGTTATTGACACATTAATTTTGTTTCCCCAATAGGCGAATAGTAACTTTAAACACAACACTAAAATATGGACTTTAGATAGTCCAATGTGCATCTTTCTCTGGTTGTACTTGGGAGAAAGCTTTTTGTTTTAAAGTTATGTAATAAGTTAAAACTACATACAACAGTGTTACTGTACCAAAAATTGTCAAAAGTCGTATTGTCGAATAGTAACTTTAAACACAACACTAAAATATGGACTTTAGATAGTCCAATGTGCATCTTTCTCTGGTTGTACTTGGGAGAAAACTTTTTGTTTTAAAGTTATGTAATAAGTTAAAACTACATACAACAGTGTTACTGTACCAAAAATTGTCAAAAGTCGTATTGTCTGTTTCCATTTATACACAATTCAAAGGCTAAAAATAATTTGTATTTATTGCTTTTTTGGGAACAACATTTAATAAGATAGTTGTTATAGTTTAATTTTTATTAGTATTGAGAACAGCAGTAAATAAAATGAAGAAAAGATTGTGAAGTATTACATAATTCATACTTCTTTTTTACAGGAAGCAATGGTTTTAACCCAGACACAGAGAGGTAAGTATTTTATTTTTAAAAATGAGCCACATTAAATAAATTAAAATTCCAAATTGTTGAGTTTAACCATTACGTGTGAAAGGTTATTAAACACTTATCATCAAGATTCTAGTCCACTTATACTTTATCTAAACCTATGCAGAGTGTACAGTTTTAAAAACAACTTTTCTACCTTTCAGTGAAATGGGAGGCAGGAGGTCTGTCGATATTACACACAATGGGAGAGCAGGAAATGCAGTCGGAGCTATACCTCCAGATGCTCTTTATAGCACTCCAAAGAAGCAGTCAAATAAAAAGGTCGAGAACAAACACTACGAAAATCTGAAGGTAATACCTTTGCTTCTGTTACTGTAATATTATTGAGTATCAGCCTGACCAATTCAAGGTATTGAAGGTAAACTTTCCTTCCGTAGGTGCAAGTTTACCGTGATGAGCCATGTTATTATGAAACACGTGTAGTGTTGATAGCGTATTATAAAACACTTGTTTACTTTAACTAAAGTTCTGAGTGTGTTTAATTAAACCACCATCACGTCGTTGTCAGAGTTGTATAAAATGCATTTAATTAAACCACCATCACGTCGTTGTCAGAGTTGTATAAAATGTGTTTAATTAAACCACCATCACGGTTTAACAGCCATTCAGTTGTCAAACATTACCTCTA